TATTATTCATAAGATTAAATATTATAAATTATAATTATTTAAATTTTATACAAACATTTTTTAAGAAAAAAAATATTTTAATTTTCTTTTAAAAACAATTATTATAATATTTTTATAATATAACGAGCCAATTTCAGACCGAACAGGAACATGAATAAGTTTTTCGAGCAAAACACGAAGACACTATTCACTAGACATTTCTAACACGAGTCAATTTCAAACGAGTTGAACAGGAGCCAAGCCTGAGCTCGCTCAGGCTCGACTCGTTTACAACTATAATATCTAATGCATAAAATTTTCATTTTTTTTCTTATATAACATTTTATCCATGCATGAAAGGTGTAGTTCACTTAAAAATTTAATCATAATATTTTAGATGTAATATGATCTCATTGCTGTCATGCTCTCAATGTGAACACAGACATATTCATTGGGGATGATAATTCAAGGAAAAGAATATTTTCACTGACTTATATAAGAAGTATTGTATAATATTTATAGATATAAAATGATCCCAAAAAATAAGAAGGCGAATCAACATATATAATGAACTTCATCTTAATGTAGAGGATAAATATAGAAAATGCAAACTAAGGAAGAAAAAATGACTATTTTGATATCTCTACTATGCCAAATTGATTATTTTGATCTCTCTAGCCCTCATGATAGGCTCTCATTAGAGACACCAAAGTTGAAATTAGTTAGACGAGCTTTGTAGTGATTGACGGAACCATCTAGATTGTAAGTTGGATCATCTTTATCAATGGGATAGACAAGAATAGTTAGTTCATCATTGCTCGACATCATGACGAGTAGTTGGAGGCAATAAGTTTGATTTATGTCTCCGTGTCTATTATAATAAAGGCTTGAGATTTATAAAAGGGGGTTAAGAAAAATGTGGGCAATTGGAGTTAGAGGATGCCGTAGAAGAGGAAACGACTATGGGAGGAAGAAGATGCTCAGATAGACTGGCCTGCTTGGATGCTCGCCATCATCATAATGTCACTTACTTTCATATTTATTGAAGGAGGGAACATGCGAATAGTCAACAAAGTGGCTGCATCCTGGTGCTATCCTTCAAATGACTTTTGTTTTTGCTTGATGAGAGTAAGTATGCTATAATTATGCATCGTTTCATGAAACCGGGATAGGGCTAATGGTTTTGGAGCATAGTTCCAGCTAGCTTCAGGACGCCTGATTTCTCATATACAAAATAAAATATTCAGTTTGGACACCGTCGTCATGAACGTCAGCGGTGGGCGACATACCGCCCTACTATTGGCAGTCCGGACATATATATATATTTTTCAAAGTGGTGTGAAACTTAAAAGTTCTTCTCGTTTAAAAAGAATATAACATTATATATATATATATATATATATATATATATATAATGTTATATTCTTTTTAAACGAGAAGAACTTTTAAGTTTCACACCACTTTGAAAAATATATATATATGTCCGGACTGCCAATAGTAGGGCGGTATGTCGCCCACCGCTGACGCTCATGACGACGGCGT